GCCTCCCCTGCTCCATCACCAGACTCTGCCCATTGTGCAGCATCTGCCCACTGCATCTACCTGCCCAGCCCTCTCCCACACTGCCACCCTTTCCCCTGGTCTAGCTTCAGCCCAGCAGCCACTGGTCACACTTAGGGCAGCCCACAGCACTCATTACCTCAACTGTGACTAGGTCCTAACTTGCCAGGTGACCACCAGCTGTCTTTCCTGTCCCTCAGACTGGCCACACACATTCCTACCTCAGGGTCTTTGCACCAGTAGTGGCTTCATCCTCATATGTCTGCTTGTTGGCCTCCTTTACCACCTGTTCATGGTCATCTCTCACCTGTTGGGAGGCCAGCTCCACCCACCTCTGCAAACTTGTAGCCTGCAGCCTCTACCGTGGCCCTGCTTGTCTGGAACTACATTTCTACCATAAAATTTGGCAGTTTCTGGTCTGACTCCTGCTGTCCTCATGTGAACAAATTCAGGGACCGGGTTTTAAAGGCCTCATTGAGCAGCACCAGGCCCTCCCTCTACCATATGCCAAACTCATAGCCACAGCTCAAAAAGTGTGTTAACAGCCAGTCCCTATCTCCCTGACCACATCCACTCCCGGACACCACACAAAACTTGTCTGCAGACAGGCACCTGCCTCAGCACATATGTAGCTGCACAGATGCATTTGGACAATGGGGCCACACACACAGAGGTGTATATCCGTCACTGTCACAGACATGCACCTGTATGTGAGGCTTAAACCCCTTCAGTGGCTTCCTCTTTCTCTTTGATAAAGGAAGACCAAGGCCCCAGCTGGGCTTCTCCTGCCCTGCTCCTCTTTCTATGTGCCAAGTAACTCTGGCCTCCCTTCATCTCTCCTGACCCTGACCCACTCCCACACGTACCACAGGGTCTTTGCACAAGCTCTTTCTCTGCCTACTGCCTCTGATATTTACATCCATGCCCAACAGCACCATGGCAGGTCCTGGCTATCAACATAGGGACCTATAAGAAGTTTCCAGGCCAGGAAACAGTGTGGTACCCAACTCAGCCTCTGACCCTGCTGTCATCAGTTCCCTTTTCTGAGATTTGAGGAGTTCCTCAAGGTATAGTAAAGCCCAAGTTAGACTCAGAGAGAGATGACGGGAGCATTGGGTAAAATTGGGTAAAAGCCTCAGAGAGGTGGGACTGTCCTGAGGTTCCATTTAGAGCATAGCCAGGCTCCAGCTCATAGGCCTCCCCACCTCCACGCACACCGCATCACCCCTTGATTCCACAGCTCTGAGCACTCACTTCCTCCAGATGTTACTGAGTGTCATAGAGCTGCCAGGAGAATACTGGGTGGAGTCTTGAGCTTCTTTGGTTTTAGTGTTCTGGTGATCTGGAGGAGGGTGCCTTCAGCAGGGAGCTGCCCTTGGATGAGACTGTTGGTTGCTACCCCACACAAGCCCCATGACCTGGGATTGCTGCTGGGCCAGTTTCCTCTTTTACTCCCTTTATGTCCTGTGAATACTGTGCATGCTCATCAAGGACCGAATGGCCAGGCCTTGACTCGGGTCTTCCAGACAGTGGCAGTTGAAGTCCCATGCCAACAGCTCACAGTCCTCAGTCTGTTCTCCTAGTTCACTAGAGCCCATCCCATCAGCTTTGGGGTGTGGAACACATATTTCCTGAAGCTCAAATCACATGTCCTCAGCTGAAGAAACTTCTCTGCCTGCCATGTGGGACCAAAGACTTGTAGGTGCCGTTCCCTTTCCTCCAGACCCAGTGCTGGGCTGAGGCCAACAAAACAGTGCAGGATGGACCATGCAGGCAACAGAGGGAGGGATGGGAAGAGCTATGGCACCCCTAGATGCCAGGCCTGAGCAGGTGCCCTGCCCACACAGACCTGATTGGCTTACAGCTCTAGAGTCCACACAGAGCCACTTTCTGTCCACGGGATCAGCAAGGCTGACTTCTCTCCCAGCCTGGTAGGAGAAGCCACAGAAATGGGGGCCCGGCACAGAGAAGTGGCAGTAGCAAGAGAGTGAGAGGAGGGACGGTCCACTGGTAGGGAGGAGCTCATGTGAGCTGACCTGTGAAGAGCAGGCAAGAGGCACCACAGACATGAACAGCTGAAGAGGGCCGGTGACCATGCAAGTCCTGCAGAGAACAGCCTGCGTGGGGGCTGGCAAGTTCCCCAGGCTGCGTTGCAGGGGCAGATGGGGACCTGAGGCAGGAGATATGTGCACTTCCAGGCAGTGGCCAGCATCTTGGTCTACACAAGTGAAACTCCTGCAACAAGGCAGGGAACTGATCACCAGAAATCACAATTCTGGGGTTTCCATGTCACCAGCCTGGACTAGACCTTGTCCCAAGAGTGGAGTCACTGCAGGGTCTCCTGACGCAGCTGGGAGCCTGCTTTTCTTAAGTGGCAGCAAACAGCTGGGAGCCTCATTCAGGAGAAGCTTGTTCTCTGAGCAATCTTTGTCCCTAACACTGGCCAACTAAAGGACAGTTAGTTGAGGTCTGGCTATATCTCAGATTTTAAAACACTGGATCCAGGAAAATGGTGATTACAAAGGACACCCCTAGCTGGGCCTCAGGATGTCAGCTGTCATGCTGGCAGGACAGCATGCTGGGTGCCCCCAGCAGCTGCAGGGAATGCCTCCCCAGGGAGATGTCCTCATGCAGCAGGCAGAGGGCCATGCACACCTTTGCACCCTGAGATGCTATTGGGTCATCAGCAGGACCAAGGGGGCAGTTACAGGGTCCCATGACCTCTACATGCTGACAGTCCATAGCAGAGAGAAGCAAGAGCAGTTGTGATGAGAGATGGGGCCTTGTTGATACCATGGTGTTTTCTCATAAACCTTTTTCCTAACAAAAGTTCACTGAAGGAAATAGAGGAGGTAGGGTAAAATGCAAAGGAGACACTCCCTGGGCTTCTACGACATGGTACTCTTTGCTGTTTGGAAGTGGCTCCCAGACCTCGCTGCACACATCTGGACTGGGTGCATTACTTATGTGGCATCCCTGAGCCAGTGACCCTGGAGCCCTGACTCTGTGTCTAGGAGGGGGCACATCATGAAGCTTCTGTTCTCAGACATAATTTCAGCCTCACCAGGATGGGTTGAATGACCCTGTAATCACTGCTCCAGCAAAGCTGCTTCTGGCTGTCCCTGGTGTACTCCTCCATGGTAAACTGGGGTTTGGACTGCAGAGAATTAGGGAAGTTCCTCCACTCACCTTCCCTTCCTCCTTCCTTCCACCTCTAGCACTTGCTGAGGGCCCGCCATGCACTGGGCACTGTTCTGCTCACCTTTCTGTCCTGGTTGGGAAGAGGTGGCAGAGCAGTACACAAGGTCATGCATGTCACATGTTAGCTGAAGGCAGCTGTGGAGAGAGCAGTGAGGTTCGGGTAGGGTAGAAGACTGAATCTAGCCAAGGTGGCAGAAAAAGGGCAAGATTATGGTCACCGTGTCAGGGACAGTGGGGTAGTGACTGCTACAGGCTGGCACTTGCAGAGCACCAGGCTCTGCTAGATGCATTACTCCTCACAGATACCTGGGCCTTGGCAGGTCAGGTTCAGATACCTGGAGTAAAATGCCCAAGGCCACACAGGAGGTGAGCAGTGAGGGGTTACCTGTCCAACGGTCATGTGGAGGACAGTGTTGAAGTTTGACCCAGGATGAGAGGTGGCATCAGGGATACTGTTGGAGGCAGGTGGGCCCAAGGCACAAGAGAGGATGGGGAGGTCACAGTCACAGGTGAGGCCAGAACCTTGGACCAGGAAGAGATTGGGCAACCCAGAGCCTGTTTGAGAACAGGACTGCTGAGAAAGTGGTGGAAGGTCTGTGAGGATTATGGACAGGGAGGGACACAGATGACAACAGAGGGTCCTGAGGGGGGGCAGGTGGGGAGCACAGAGGTGGCTGGGGCAAGACTGACCAGATGCTGGTCATGCTTAGGAGTGGAGATGGAGAGGCTCTTGATTGTCTCTGATCTGTCTGCCTTGGGCCTTCCACCTGAAGCCTGCCCGTAGGTAAAGGGCAGTACTACAGGGGAAAGAGAGTGGCCATGGTAGGATGACTGGGTGAAGAGGGAAGTCAGGAAGGGAGGCAAGAGGGGTGCTGTGGCAGGTACCACCCTGGGCTCCCAGTCAGGAGCAGAAGCCTAAAAGGAGGGGCCTAGACCAGCCATCCAGCAGGTCAGACATATCTTGGGGTATACCCCTCCCCCTGCTGGTCAATAGGTGGCCTGCAGAGTCTGGATGCTAAAGTCCTGCCCCCAGCTGAGCCCAAGTCTCCCTCACCGTGAAAGGAGTGAGGCCTTCTCTGCACCTCTTCTGCGCTGGACCTCTGAGGTACCCTATGGCTCCCCCTAGCCTGCAGCCTCCACCTTGTGTTGGCCCCTGCAGGTCTGCTCGCTCTGGAGTTGGTAGTCTGGACATGCAAGGGTGGTCAGGACCAGACTTCCCTCCTGACACCTGCCCTATGAGAGCAGAGGTGACCAGGAGAAGGTGAGAGTCAGGGAGGCTCCCAGTTGTCCTGAGTAAGGGTTAGGGGTTTGCTGTGATGCCTCCTTCAGGTAGGGCTTCAGCCAGGACCATAATTTAAGCACTTTAAGCTCCCTCAGTGCCTTGGAAGAGTGGGAGCAGGCATCACAGCAGAATCATGTTATCGAATCTTAGCCAAATGTGGAGGCTCAGGAAAGGCAAGGTCAGCTGGGTCCAGTGAGTAGGAGCAGCAGCTGCGGTGAGGCCCGTCAGGGCAGGCAGATGGGGCCTTCACACTTGATTCTCTCCCTCTTGCAGCTGGCTTCAGGCAAGCTGGCTGGGCCAGGAGGGTGGGGCCAGGGGGCAGGGCCATCAGTTAGGCATGTTGGGTTTGCTGTAGTTTGAACACTAGCCCTGGAACACCCCAGAAGAGCAGGGAGCTGGTGGATTATTCCCGCCTTTTTTGAGGCCCAATGGACTTCTTCCTTTCCCAGTCCAGCCTGCGGTGGATGGGAGGTAGCTCATGCTGTTCTCTGTTTGGCAGGTGAAGGGCCGGATGCACAGCAGGGAGCAGGAGCAGCCCGAGGCAGGGGGGCCATTGGGAGCGCTGGGCCCTCCAGCCGTGCTTAGCAGCATCGCCACAGCAACCGGCAACCAGACAGCAGAAGCCTAGGCAGGCACAAGAGGACGGCTTCCCACCGTGGCTGAGGACAGGGAATGACTACAGCAAATCAGGCCACAGAACTGACAAGGGAGGTGGAGTGTCACTAGAGGGGAGGGCGCAGCCACCGCCCCGCTGCACGAAGCACCATGCGGGCTGGAGAAGAGGCGCTAGGGCAGGGGCTACAGTGTGACATGGTCTTGCCCCCCAGCTGTCACTGAGGGCTCCTAGGGCAGCTGGCTCCTGTTTGCCAGGTGCACCAGACCACGTTTCAGCATCCCTCACTGAGGCTGAGTCCTGCTTGGTGGTAAGAGGGGGAGGCGTACATCCCGTGCTCCCAAATCTGGGCCTGCCAGCTGCCGGACCATGGGATGTCGGCAAAGCTCAGAGGAGAAAGAGGCAGCGCGGCGGTCCCGGAGAATTGACCGCCACCTGCGCTCAGAAAGCCAGCGGCAACGCCGCGAGATCAAGTTGCTCCTGTTGGGCACCAGCAACTCTGGCAAGAGCACCATCGTCAAGCAGATGAAGATTATCCACAGCGGCGGCTTCAACCTGGAGGCCTGCAAGGAGTACAAGCCCCTCATCATCTACAACGCCATTGACTCGCTGACCCGCATCATTCGGGCCCTGGCGGCCCTCAAGATCGACTTCCACAATCCAGACCGAGCATACGATGCCGTGCAGCTCTTCGCTCTGACTGGCCCGGCCGAGAGCAAGGGTGAGATCACGCCTGAGCTGCTGGGTGTCATGCGGAGGCTGTGGGCTGACCCTGGGGCTCAGGCCTGCTTTGGCCGCTCCAGTGAGTACCACCTGGAGGACAATGCAGCCTACTACCTGAACGACCTGGAACGCATCGCTGCACCTGACTACATCCCCACCGTGGAGGACATCCTGCGTTCCCGGGACATGACCACGGGCATTGTGGAAAACAAGTTCACCTTCAAGGAGCTCACCTTCAAGATGGTGGACGTGGGTGGCCAGAGGTCAGAGCGCAAAAAGTGGATCCACTGCTTTGAGGGTGTCACAGCCATCATCTTCTGTGTGGAGCTTAGCGGCTATGACCTGAAGCTCTATGAAGATAACCAGACGGTGAGTAGAGCTCAGATTTCTGTGCTGTTCCTGGTCCAGTCACATGGACCAGTCACATGCTGTGGCTCCAGAGAGATGGAGGTGGGCATCCAGGATGACAGGCAGGGCCATACTGGGCGCTTCCAGGTTCCCTGTAAGACCAGCTCTTCATGGCTGCCCCACCCTGGGAGCCTCACTTTGACCAAATGATCACGCTCTGACCACGCCCTTGGCACTCTGACACCCTCCAAATGATGTCACAGCCCTGGGCTCCATTGAGGGCAACCTCACTCACCAGGCAGGAACCCCCCCCCACCCGCCCCATCAGCTATGGCCACTCTCTTCCAGCTGTAGATGGCACCACCCTTGTAGCTCTTGCCCCAGTTGCCCAGATTTCCTGGTTGTTCCTCCCTCAGTACAGTGAACAGATCATGTCAGAAAGCGCTCAGTCTCTGGATACCCCAGTACAAGCGAGGACAAGGCCTGGCTAAGCATCATTGTTGGCCCACATAATGGTTTGGAAAAATCCATGAAGTTCCTACCAGCACTGAACAGCATGTGGGTCCTGGAAATGGCAACAACTTCATCTTGACCCCAAGAGTTTGGTGACAATGGAGTGAAGAAAAGCTTAATCCCACAGTGCCAGTGGGATTAAGCTGGTGGTGGGGACTCAGCAAGTAGGTGGGTTAGGGCAAGTGTTGGGATTCTTTGGAATCCTGAGCCCAGGCTGAGAACCACTGTGTGGGGAGGAGAGATCAGAGGCATCAAATGGGATGGGAGTGACCTGAGAGAGCCCAGTACTGAGTTGGTGACTTAAGAGGGGAGTTTCTGGGAAGAGAGGGAAAGACAGACCCCTGGCAAGGAGGTGGTGGGCAGCATGTGCAAGTCCAACTGAAGCAGAAGGCCCAGAGTGGAAGGAAGCCCCATACCCAGATAAATGATGAGTGTAGCCAGGACCAGCCCACCCTGGGGCCCTCCTGTTCAGCAGAACTTTTGTGCCAGGCAAAGACCCAGAATCTGCCCCTAAGAGAAAAGTCTTTGAGCTTGTGGGTGGAAGGAGTGTGACAAACAGGTAGTTCCCAGGAGCTGTGAGTGGGGCTATAGGTGCCGTGGAGCTCAGAGGTGGTGATGCTGGTAGGAGGACTTTGTGGACTTGGAGGCTCAGTCATGCTGGGAGACAAGAGCCTGGCCTCCTGCTTTGGAGCACTGGCCTCCAGGGCCAGTAGCAAAGGTAGGGCTCCTTCCTTTATGGAGTCTTGTTCAGGTAAGTGGTGGCTTTATTTCCCAGTTCATCCAAAGGCTCTAACTGGATCTGTAATCCCAAGGGAGTCTGTGGAAGGCTGCAGGTTGTGGCCATAGTGCTAGGTGCCTGAGCAGAGAATTCCAGGTGACCACAAATGCAGGAGGCAGAACTAACCTCCCTGCCCCTCCAGGCCTCTGGGAGCATCTCAGGAACTGTGCCAGGTGTTGATGGTGGTCCCAGTGGGTGGGGGGTGATGACCCACAGGTGCTGAATCCACAGAGGCAGGCAGGCCATGACCACCTGCAGCCCATCCTTCTCCTTGGCTGTGAGTGGTCTTCAAGGTTCTAGCCCCTCTTACTCCTCTGGCTGCCCCACTTCCACATCATATTTAGTTTTGGTAGAGGTGACATCACAGCAGATAAGCAAGATCAGGCCCCCTTGACAAGGCATCACTATGAAGTAGTTGGGCTGGGAGATGGTGTCATGGCAGGTCTTCCAGCCATGCTGCAGCTGGCAGTCACACAGCTCAGGTAGTTAACTCTTCGGGCTTCTGCTCACTTCTGCTATTCCTTGGGACCAACAGGAAAATGTGCTCAAAGGCCTTCCAGTCCCAGATGGGCTGCCCCTCAAGGGCAGGCCTGACTCCCAGGCCCATGCTTTGCAGCCTGTGCCCACAGGTGTGTCTGCCCAAGAGGCAGGATACCTGAACAGTGAGCTTCATGTAAGGCTTTGGTTGTCAGCTCTGCTCCCTGAACCTGTTAACAAGGAGGCAGCCCAGCCGTCCTCAAAGATAGGTACAAGATGAGGTCTCTCCCTACCCCAGACCCTGTGGTTCCTTCTGGCCTATACCCCCTGTCTTACTGACTCTCCTTTCTGCTCCATTCACTGCTTGTTTTGCTCTCACAGTATCGCTCTGTCTAGCCTTAAGCTCATGACTGTCTTGTCTCCTGATCCCATCCCCACCCTTAAGGATATGCCCCAAGGAGACCTCCTTGGGAGGCCTTCCCTGACCCCAGCACTGCACACTCCTTACATTCCTCCTTGAGTTATTTGTCATAGGGTGGGTCACTGCTCACACGTAAGTGAACCAGCTCCTAGAGGCAGGCCCTGAGAGGGGCTGCCCTGTGAGCCTTCTGTCTCTAACCTTCTCCCAGCTCCATCCCCATGGGAATTTCTGTGAGCCCCACAACTTGCCTCCTGGAGGAATCAGTCTCTAGGGCATTTTCTAAAGGGAGGGGCTGGAAACCAGGCCTGTAACACTCCCTCCTAAACCCCCCCCACACACCGCCTATGCCACCACTCTGGTCTCCACAGGCCTGGCGAAGTGGTTGTTCACCAGAAAAGGAAATTCTTGATGAGAAACCCAAGCGAGGCTGGAAATTCACTGGATTCCAAATGGTTTTGACCTTTCATGCTCCACCAGTAATATCTGGGGATGCAAAACAAACAGGCAGCTGAGGAAAGACAATACCCTCTCATGATTCCTCCTGCTGACTGGTGTGCACGGTGCAGGCAGTGAGGATGGCCTGCCTCTCCCTCTATCTGGACTAGGATAGTGCCACACAGATACTAAGACATTGCTGTTTCCATCTGCCTTCTCCTCCTGGAGTGCCCTGAACCGTCCTCCCTTCCCCAGCAAGGGCGAGTCAGCCAAGAACAGGCCACACTACTTTTTGCAAAAGCCAAATGAACCTCGGGGCTCAGTGCCAAGGTCTAGCCATAGCTTCTCCACAGCTCTCCTTCCCTGCTCAGTTCCAAAGCCTCTTCTCTCTGATGGAGGCTGGTGGTGCCCCCCTCCCTGCCCCCATGCCTGGCGAAGGAGCCACAGCCCCCCCCCCCAGCCCGCCCGCTGGCTTCTGCGTCAGCGTGTTACCAAGGAGAGCGTAAGCATCTCTGGGTTCCTGGGCGTGAGGGCTGCAGCTAGCACAAGGAAGCACCTTACAGGCAAGTGGAGGCAGATTTCCAGGCATCCATGGATGGTAGCAACAAGCACAAATGAGCTATGCCCACCATTGGCCCCAGGAGGATTGAGTAGGTGATGGGACTGACTGGAGCCCCTCCCCCTTGGAGGCCTCAAAGTCACCAAAGCCAGAAGAGCCTCCAGTACTTTGCTTGGTAGCCCCCCACCCCCACCTAATGGCCCCCACCAGAGGCCAAGACACAGCCCGGTGACATGTGGGGATTTCTCTTCATCTCCAGACTGGGCATGTGGAGCAGCAGCACCTATTATTTCTGTTATGGGCAGAAGTGCAGGGCAATACTGGCTGGCTGCCCACCACCACATACTCCCAGTGCAGCCCCTGAGACCCACTGTGTGCTCCTCACTCAACCAGGGCAGGGCTCTGCTCCTCCTCCTTAGTACACTTATTTAATCAGGGTCAGTTGACAGAGACAGGTCACTCTGTGGCTTCAGAAGGATTGTGCATAAGGAGGAAAAGCAGAGATGTTAAGCAGCACACATGGAAGGATGAACATGGCTATGACCAGCTGGAGTGAATCCTTGCTCCACCATCAGAGGCATCTCAGCATCAGGCAGAACCCAAGCATTCTTGCTGGGAGCCTTGGGGAAATGTGGGGAAGCAGGCGCCTACTGTTCAACTCCTGCCTCTGCAGATCAGCTAATGGACTCTAGCGGCCACTTAATGGTGGAGGGATCTTCTGAAGGGACAGATTAAAAGGCCTGGTTGTAAAGTGTCAAATGTTCTCATGTGGAAACCCACAGGGAGCTTGCTGACCATTTCCCAGTGAAGCTGTCAGCATTCCCAGCCCAGCGGCAGGCCCGTTGTGTGCCTGCTGCGTGCCTGCTGTGTACCTGCTGTGCAGGCACAAGGCCCCAGCTGGGGGATGAGTGTGAGTATAAGCCTGATTCTAATAGTACAAGGAGCTTGGGTGGCAGAAGACAGTCATACCACAAACCCTCATGCCACCAGAGATACCTACTCCCTTCCTCCAGAGCCAGCAGGCACAATTCCCAGGAGTGTCCCCCATTTTGCTTTTATCTGGTACCAGTGCTGGCAAGTTGAACACCACAGATGGTCTGGGCCACAATAAGGCTCACCATGGGAGGCCAGGTCCCCCTACTGCTTATGAAGTTGAACATAAGGACATTGCTTTGGGAGGGGCAAGTTCTGCAGGTGGTGGGTGCTACAGCCAGACTCCAGGCAGGTCAGTAACCCCAGCACAGCTTAAGGACAGGAGGATACCCACTACAGTGGCTTGTGCTGTGGATGGAGGCCCCGGGCTCACAGCAGGTATTCAGGAGGCAATGTGGAGTGGATGGGAGGCAATTCAGCTCTTCCTGAGACCACCCACAGGTGCTGGTCCCCAGTGGAAGGGGGATGTCCCTGAGGAGGGAGCTCCTGGAGGTTGTCCTGCAGTCACAGCATGTACCCAACACCCTAGCATTGTGGTTTGTCATTTAGTCTGAAAAGGGAGGGTTTTTTAAAACTTTAAAAATTGAGTTTAAACATCTGTTGTCATGAAATGAGGCACTGAGGGAGAGGCAAGGTGTCTGTAGTCAGATGGGCCCTCGCCAATTGATTAGAGAGATGGTTGTATCTGGCCAAAGGAAAGGATTTAAAATGGGAACAGCCATATGTGGATGATGCCTTTCTTACCAGCATATATACAGACTTGGAATTGGAAAGGTTAGTGTCCTTAACCAGCCAGCTTTGCAGATGAGGAGCGGAGACTCAGAGAGATTACACCACAGGTCCTGGGGCTGAGTCTCTGGTTCTCAGGGAGGGCCCAGCACTGCCCCCTAGGGATTCTAGAGATT